TCTTAAGACCAAGATGTAGTGTCCCATTTACATACCGTAACACCCTCTTAAGAGCCGCCCAATCCGCAGTAGAGGGAGAGTGCATGTGTTGACACAAACGATTGACTGCATAGGAAAGACCAGGCCGAGTTACCGTAAGATATTGCAGAGCACTTGCAAAGCTGCGATACTGAGTGGGATCAGCATATGGTACCACAGCATCAGTATCGGCCTTCGTGGTTGAAACCGGAGTAGCCACGGACTTGCAATCAACCATACCTGCTCGTTTTAGAATATCCTTCATGTACCGTTGTTGAGACAGAAGCATGCCATCAGACAACAGAATGGTCTCAATACCCAGAAAGAACGAGGGCACACCCATATCACGAACTTTAAACTCAAGAGCCAACTTGTCAATAAGAGCAGTCACATGAGCCGGATCAAATCCCATAACCAAAATATCATCCACATAAACCAGAAAATATAAACGAGTATTGCCATGTGAATATATAAATAGAGAGACATCCGTCTTGGAAGGTGAGAAACCAGCAGAAACCAGAAAATCATGCAAACGAGTGAACTAAGCACGGGGAGCTTGCTTAAGCCCATATAAAGAACGTTGAAGGAGACAAACGTGCCCGGGCATCGTTTTGTCTTCATAACAAGGGGGCTGGCGCATATAAACCGTCTCAGCGAGATTGCCATTTAGAAAAGCATTATGTATGTCCAATTGTCGAATAGTCCATCCACAAGAAATAGCTAAGGATAAAAGAAGACGTACCATAGTCGGTTTAACAACGGGACTAAAGGTCTCAAAGAAATCCTCGCCGGCAATTTGATTGAATCTCTTGGTAACTAACCGAGCCTTGTAACGCTCAATCGAACCATCAGCCTTTCTCTTGGTTCTAAACACCCACTTACATCCAACTACATTCATACCTGATTTAAAGGGAACAAGCCTCCATGTATTGTTGTGCACCAAGGCATTAAATTCCAAATCCATTGCATCCCGCCATTCAGGAAATTTAACCGCTTGAGTAAAACATGTAGGTTCAAGAGTAACAGCAGCAACAGATAAAGTAACATGATCATGTGGTCCCGAACTTCTCGTATTCATTCCATGAGAGTGAACGGGTAAGGGCGCGGGACGAGACCGACCACGAGGCCGGCCTCTTGGGCGAGGAGCCGGCTGGTCCGTGACTGTCCGCTCGGACTCGGTCACGGGCTCGGCAGTAGCAGGCTGCTGGCGGTGGTGGTCAGAAGCGGCTATGGGCGCGGCAGGAGGGTCACGAGCTATGACAATAGTCAGATCACCACCAGAAACAATTGGTGCAACACCCCACGGCTCCGGGCGTGGTTTTGGAACCTGCGAATGCACAGAAGCAACAAAAGGAAAGACAGCCTCATCGAATCACACATGGCGACAGATAAAAACCTTGTTAGTGTTAGTGTCTAAACAACAATAGCCACGAAAAGATGGAGGATATCCTAGAAAGACACAAGGGGATGACCGAAACTGTAGTTTGTTGCGATTATATGGACGCAGATTTGGAAAGCATAAACACCCAAAAACACGCAGATATGAATAAGATGGGGGAGACCGATGCAAAAGATAATGAGGAGATTTATCAGATAAGACAGGAGTGGGCATTTTATTGATTAGATAAACCGCAATTTCAAAAGCATAATCCCAAAAACGAGACGGAACAGAGGATTGAGCCATTAATGCTAGTCCCGTTTCAACAACATGCCTATGCTTACGTTCTACCCTGCCATTTTGTTCATGAGTATATGCACATGATTGCATGTGACGAATACCTAAGGACGCAAGATTGGAACCAAGCTTTTTATATTCTCCCCCTAAATCAGATTGAAAAGAAATAATCTTGCGAGAAAAGAAACGTTCAACTAGTGACCGAAACTTATCAAATATAGCATACAAATCAGATTTAGCACGCATGGGATAATACCACATATAACGAGTGTAATCATTCACAAACAACACAAAATATTTAAAGCCAGACACAGAAAGTTATGGCGCAGGGCCCTAAATATCTGAATAAATTAATTCCAAGGGATGCGTATTAGTAGTTTCGACACGAGACAAAGGAAAACGAGAAGATTTTCCTAATTGACAAGAGGAACAGACATTGGGAAGATCAATAGAATTAAATGTACCAACAGACGAAGACGCTAAAATTTTACGTAAAACTCGAGAATGAGGATGCCCCAACCGCATGTGCCAAACGTAAGAGGACCGTGCAGCAACAAATGCAGCAGGGGAAGTAGAAGATGCAGGCCATGTGTATAGACCCCCATACGCATGTCCCTTAAAAAGAACCTTCTTGGTCAAAATGTCTTTCACATAGAAACAAAGAGGGTGGAACTCAAAGAAAACATTATTGTCCTTTGCAAAACGCTGGACAGATAATAGAGAAGAAGAGAGACCAGGGACATGCAAAACATCATGTAACTTAAAAGACAAAGAATCAGTGACTAACGAAGCAGAACCAAGATTAACAATAGGCAAACCTGTACCATTGCCGACGCGCAGAGTCTCCGGGCCATCATAACTTGTCGCAGAAGCCATCAAAGAAGAATCAGGCGTAGCATGATTTGTAGCACCAGTGTCAGGGAACCACTGATGAGGATCGTTGGAATCACCATTATCACCGGAGACGGCCACATTAGCCTGAAAACCCGGAGCCCCTGAATAACGCCGAAAACAGTTGGCTCCCGTGTGACCAAAACGGTCACAAATTTGACACGGATCATCATAGCGCCAAAAACAATTGGCTCCCGTGTGACCAAAACGGTCACAAATTTGACACGGATCATCATAACGCCAAACACAATTGGCTCCCGTGTGGCCGAAACTATTACAAATTTGACACGGATCATCAACGTCACGTCGTTGACCGGACCGCTTCTGATACGATGTATCTTGGTTTGATGCCATCGGCTACTGCTACGAAGTGAGGAACATGGATGTTGGAAAAGAAAATCCTGGCTAACTGATACAAGATGAGAATATAATTGTGTTGTATTCAATAATAATGTCTGAGAGTACAGGGAGCGAATATATAGAGATGCTAGATAGAATCCTAGTCTAACACGAATAATATAGTCCTAGTCTAATATGGATAATAGAGTCCTAATAGTCCTAATACTATGTACAAGATTTTGTACTACATCATGAATAGATGCTAGTAATTTAAATGTCTTAATTGGACCAGTAGGTATGTTGAGATACATCCTATAATTTATCTAATTTACTAGTCTCTAAAACAAGTTGGAGGCCTGGAGCGGTAACTCTGTTACAAGCAGTATCTGTTCATAACTAATTTCTCAATCTACTGAAGCACAAAGAGTTAATATTGTCTCCACTGTTGTTCGAATCCACAACCACCCATATGGGAGAGCAACTTGGTGCCACTTGACCACAAGGTCCTTGGCAGCAGTGATGAGCTTTTAAGTTTGAAGGTTTAGACTTATAGAAAAGGATCAACTAATCCGTTGAACTAAGGCTCCGTTTGGAAAGCAGGAAAATGACTTCTGGAAAATGAGTCATTTTTCAGAAAACATTTTCCTTTTCGGTGTTTGGCTACACAATGGAAAACTGTCTTTGTGTGTTTGGTTGATTTTTCAGAAAATGAGTAGAAAAATGAAAAGAATTAAATACTTCAAAATTTTAATTGTTTGATACGTTTGATAAAATCCTTCTGTAAATAACACTCTTTTGATATATATATATATATATATATATATATATATATATATATATATATATATATATATAATATTAACATTTTAAAAAATGTTACTTTTTAAAAATTTTTAAATACGAAAAAATTAATATTATTTGTAGACTTTATATATATTTTTTGAACTTTGAATTCAAAAAAAAAAAAAAAAAGCACGCAGGGCCCGCCAATCGGCATGAGGCGGGCTATGATTGCATGAACCCTAGCCTGCGAGTTTGGTGGGCCGACTCACAAAAGCCTGCAAAAAATTAGGCCCGAAAATTTTTGCATGTGTATTCCTTGGAAAATGACTTCTTCCAAAAAACGGGAAAGTCATTTCCCCCAAATCATACATATTTTCCTTTGACTGAGGCATCATTTTCCATTGACCTCATTTTCCTCCCTCTTGCCAAACACTGGAAACTCGGAAAACATTTTTCAGAAGTCATTTCCGAGTTTCCGAACGCTCCCTAAGTTGAAAATTCATACACAGTATCTATTCAAGTTCAATGGCATATTTAACATTTACCTATAAAATAAATTCAATGAAATGACATATTTAACATTTACCCATATAATAAATTCAATCAAATTTATTTCAAACCCAATAAGTATTACTATAAGAGTAAATACCCAAAATGGTCCCTCGACTATAGCTAAATTTACAAATTAGTCCTCGATTTTCGATTTCAACCAATTAAGTCCTTAAGTTTCGAAATTTACCCAATTTTGTCCTTTGTTAGTATTCCTGTTTAATTGCCGTGAAATCGAAGAACAGCTTGGTAATTTCACATGGTTTCTCCATCGTCTGTTTCGTTGCTGTCTTTCACATTGTAATTGCCGTGAAAAACTCCTGTACTTCCACCATCCTTTTTCCCCCTGTCGGCGTCGTCTCTCTAGCGGAAGCTGTCTGCGAAGGCTGAGGCGAGAGACGGTGTGTGTCGCGAAGATGCCTCGGCCATCCGATCGGAAAGCTCTGTGTGTCCCTCTCGGTCATGGAATTTTCCGGTAATTGAGCCATTGCATGGACTATCGGAGGGTGTAGATCGCGTTGGGGATGTGCCGAGAACATCCCCGTTGGTCCGATTGTCGATCAAAGGTCACTGGACTTCTCGGGATTTGTTGCACAACCGGCGAGTTTCCGACAAACAGAGGATGCCGATAATGAAAACGACGATGGCGATGGTCTCGGTGTGGTTGTGGCTACCTATTCGCCTGGCTTAAGCTCAATTCGACAGCCCCCTTGCGACAGAGTCACGGCCTGCCGATGGTCCAGTCATGGGAGCTCTTGGCTTCAATCGGACGAGGTGCAAAGCAAATTGGGTAGAAATTGCAAAGCTGGCGGTGAAATTTAGCCCTCGTCGCCACGATTATGATGAGCTCAAGGAATCGCCCTCTAAGACATTGTCTATCTTGTACCCGCTCGTCGGAAGGCTTCTTGAAGATGGATCAACAATCGAGTGCAACGATGAGGGCGCGGAATTCGTCCGAGCTCATGTTACAAATTACGATTTGGGTGAGTTTCTCTGGCACCCGAAGCTTGAAGATCTACAGCAGCTGCTTCCATTTGAACCGTACCCAGACGCTATTGATCCGGCCATGCCAATGTCAGCTGTTCAGGTGAACAGGTTCCGGTGCGGCGGAACTGTGGTGGGGTTCTTCAATTTGTACAGGTTACTGGCCGGTCGCTTGTAGGAAGAGTGGTGGATGCGTTGGGTTTCACGATTTTGAGCGCAACAATGGCTTCATGTGAAATTACAACCTGGTGAAGGGATATCGCAACATTCTTCAATATATTACAACGACCTGATGAAGGGATAACACGAGCATCATCTGAAATTACCACTCTGTCCTTTAGTTTCACGGCAATTAAACAGGAAGACTAACAGAGGATAAAATCGTGTTAAAATTGCAAAGTTAAAGACCAATTTATGAATTTAACTATAGTCGATGGATCATTTTGGGTATTTACTCTTACTATAATTTTAAAGTGATAATACTTGGCACGAACATAAAGTTTTCTTATCCAGGGTGATGGGGCCTTACCTTTAGATGTTTGAATAGGGGAAAGCTGAAATACAGATTATCTCATTTTGTTTCAAATGTGTTCTTTTTCAATTTCCAGAGACGACGAACTGCAGTTGATGAACTAAACATGAGAAGTATATTTGAGGAGCATGATGTTGTTTGTGTAAGGACTCTCCACTTCTTTCGAGTCCAAGTTTTTTAGTCTCCATTTTTCATTATTCTTTTTTATCAATTTGGATGGATGTTCAGGCCGAAGTTCGTGGTTTCCAGCATGATGGTAGTCTGCACCTGCAAGCTAGAAGCCAGAAATATGGAAAGGTTTGTTTTTGGAAATTGATCAGACCAAATAAGCAATAACAGCAACCTCCCTTTTTGGCCCTCGCTTTTCTGTCGAGAGGAATGCACCTTAGTAACCTCGGCTTTTTTTTTTTTTTTTTTTTTCCTTTGTTTCTTGTTTTAGTTATGTCAAAATGCTTACATAAATCCTTCATGGTCCCTCGTTATCATTTATCAATAGCTGGCCAGATTCTTATGTGATCTATCCTTTTTTGATACAGCTCGAAAGGGGTCAGCTGCTCATAGTTTCTCCTTATCTAGTGAAGAAGCGTAAACAGCATTTCCATCATCTGGATCAATATCAAATTGACTTGATACTTGGCTGCAATGGCTTCAATTGGATCGGTGAGCATGTTGATGTAAAAGATGACACAATAGAAGATCCCAGTACCAAATCTAGCACTTCAATGGTCCTCGAGGAAGAGGAAAAGTATACTTCCCCAGAAGTCAGGTTAAATGTATGCAGGATAGCAAATGCCATCAGAGTATTATCTAATTTAGGGTTTATGATAACTGTGGAGGTGCTATTGGAGACAGTTGGCTTGAGCGAGTCACTGAATCATGTACACGAGATGCTTGGGGCAGAGTTCTATGTAATGGTTGCCGAGAAAGAAGCTGAAAGACGACGAAGCCAATTGACCAAAAAAAGATGATTTTTTTGTTTGTTTGTTTGTGTTTTATGTCTAGCTGAATTGTTGTTAGAATGAGGTCTCAATGTAGTTTTGGGGATTATTCTTTTTTTTTTTTTTTTTTTTGTTGCCCAAGGGTATCCCTCCAACCGATAGCCAGAAGACTAATCCTGCGTCCCTACTGTCAGCACACTAAGTGGTAGGGGATGATTCTTTTATTTTACAGATTTAGTTCTGATGACCAGAAACTAATTTAATTATATGAGCTTAAAGACAGTTTCTTTAAGCTCACAACAATTAGGTAATTTAAGCAATTATTCATTGAGACAAATTTAATATAAAATTGACTAATCTTTGGTAATTTGAATTCTTATTTATAATAAAATATACTCCGTAATAGATTGGTTTTAAAGTTATTTCTCTTACATGTACTACAGTCTGAACTAATGGTTTTGTTTCATAAGCTAACAACCCGAAGGGTATATTTTTATCTTTTAACTTTGTTGAAAAACATTTTATTAACAACTAGTATTTTCACCCGTGCGATGCACGGAATGGAATTGTAGTAATATATTAAGAATAATTAAATTGATATATAATTATTTAAGAGTTATGACGGATATATTAGGAGCCGACCCGCACCGACCCGAGGGCGCGGACAAGAACGGGTCACGGGGCGGCGTGACGTACCCGCCCCGGGCGGGGCCTCGCCACGTGGCCCCCGCACGGGCCACGTCGGAGGCCGGGCCGGCCTCTCCAGGAGGCCCGGCCGACCTCCAAGTGGGCTCGGCCCGAGCCCATGACGGGCTCAGCCTGGCCCCACAGCACGGCCCGGTCGCGAGACCGGGCGCGGTCAGCTCGGATCTAACCACCCCCCGCTTTAGGGGGTGGCGGTTAGGGGCGGGGGTTGTATAAAAACCCCCCACCTTGTCCAGTTAGGACATGATCTACTTGACGGACACACTTTGTACTGGAGAATCATTGTAATAGCCGATTCCACGGCATTTAATACAATTTACGGTCTCACGGCCTTCGATATATCGTTCGTATCATTTATTTATTATTTATATTCTCATTCGGGTTAGTTAAGTCGGACCCCCGGTTTAATTAATTCCATCAAGTTAATTTCACCAGAGGTCGCTTATTTTTCCTGACAATTCCAAATTTAATCCTAGACTATAAATCTATAATTATTAATTATTACGATTTATTCTATGTTATAATTCTTACGTTAATATTCTTACTATTATTATTAACACTTAATTACTTTTAGATATTAGTATTACCACTTATATTATTATTATTATTATTAGTATCTTTTCAAGTACCGTTAGTATATAATGGTCGTGAGTCACAATAATAATATAACCATAATTAAATATTGTAGTATTGTATTCTGTGAGTCACAATAATAATATAGCAATAATTAAATATTCTTCAATTCTATATTCTTCTAGGATTTCTATAACCATAATTAATTATTCCATAATTTACCATAATTAAATAATTTGACCAATTATAAAGAAAGATTATTAAATAATGCACGGGATAATTTTTTAATTAAAAATTTTAAAAATTCATTAATAAAACATACAATTCTCATAGTTTTTTCATAGAAACTATTTAATAAAGTATTTTTTTTTTTAGAAATTGGTGGGCCAAACCGCCTACGGCAGTTTGCGGTGGATAGATCTCAAAAAAATACGCGATTTTAAAAAAACATTTGTCAAAAACGGACAACCGAGTCAAAAGTTATGCCTTGCCGAACTTTTGACACTTCAACTTTAAAAAAATAATTAAAAAAAATAATTAAACGCCGGTTCAGCCAGCGAGGCGGCCGTGGAGAAGGCCGATTCCGGCCTTCCTCGCCGCGGCCAACGGCTCGATTTTTGCAACACTGATATATAGTACAGATATAGATTAGAATATGAATAGTATTACACAATTTTATAATATTAGAATAGAATTATAACCCAGAATTATTGATGTTAAAATTTCAGGATTTTGTTTTTATATATAGTATAGATTGTATTACACTATTTTATAATATTAGAATAGAATTTTAATGCAGAATTATTGTACAAATGGGAAAGTAGAAATCAATATATTTTATTAGGAAGAGAGATTTTTTAGGAATTGGGCGGGAAGTTAAAATTTCAGGATTTTGTTTTTATATATAGTATAGATATAGATAGATATAGATTGCATTACACTATTTTATAATATTATAATAGAATTTTGATGCAGAATTATTGTACGAATGGGAAAGTAGAAATCAATATATTTTATTAGGAAGAGAGATTTTTTAGGAATTGGGCGGGAAGTTAAAATTTCAGGATTTTGTTTTTATATATAGTATAGACGTAGATTGTATTACATTATTTTATAATATTAGAATAGAATTTTAACCAAGAATTATTGTACGAATGAGAAAGTAGAAATCAATATATTTTATTAGGAAGAGAGATTTTTTAGGAATTGGGCGGGGAGTTAAAATTTCAGGATTTTGTTTTTATATATAGTATAGATTGCATTACACTATTTTATAATATTAGAATAGAATTTTAACCCAGAATTATTGTACGAATGAATGGAAAGTAGAAATCAACATATTTTATTAGGAAGAGAGATTTTTTAGGAATTGGGCGGGAAGTTAAAATTTCAGGATTTTGTTTTTATATATAGTATAGATTGTATTACACTATTTTAAAATATTAGAATAGAATTTTAATGTAGAATTATTGTACGAATGGGAAAGTAGAAATTAATATATTTTATTATGAAGAGAGATTTTTTAGGAATTGGGCGGGAAGTTAAAATTTCAGGATTTTATTTTTATATATACTATAGATAGATTGTATTACACTATTTTATAATATTAGAATAGAATTTTAATGCAGAATTATTGTACGAATGGGAAAGTAAAAATCAATATATTTTATTAGGACGAGAGATTTCTTAGGAATTGGGCGGGAAGTTAAAATTTCAGGATTTTGTTTTTATATATAGTATAGATATAGATTGTATTACACTATTTTATAATATTAGAATAGAATTTTAACCCAGAATTATTGTACGAATGAGAAAGTAGAAATCAATATATTTTATTAGGAAGAGAGATTTTTTAGGAATTGGGCGGGGAGTTAAAATTTCAGGATTTTGTTTTTATATATAGTATAGATTGCATTACACTATTTTATAATATTATAATAGAATTTTGATGCAGAATTATTGTACGAATGGGAAAGTAGAAATCAATATATTTTATTAGGAAGAGAGATTTTTTAGGAATTGGGCGGGAAGTTAAAATTTCAGGATTTTGTTTTTATATATAGTATAGACGTAGATTGTATTACATTATTTTATAATATTAGAATAGAATTTTAACCAAGAATTATTGTACGAATGAGAAAGTAGAAATCAATATATTTTATTAGGAAGAGAGATTTTTTAGGAATTGGGCGGGAAGTTAAAATTTCAGGATTTTTTTTTTTATATATAGTATAGATAGATTGTATTACACTATTTTATAATATTAGAATAGAATTTTAACCCAGAATTATTGTACGAATGAATGGAAAGTAGAAATCAACATATTTTATTAGGAAGAGAGATTTTTTAGGAATTGGGCGGGAAGTTAAAATTTCAGGATTTTGTTTTTTTATATATAGTATAGATTGTATTACACTATTTTATAATATTAGAATAGAATTTTAATGTAGAATAATTGTACGAATGGGAAAGTAGAAATCAATATATTTTATTATGAAGAGAGATTTTTTAGGAATTGGGCGGGAAGTTAAAATTTCAGGATTTTGTTTTTATAGATAGTATAGATAGATTGTATTACACTATTTTATAATATTAGAATAGAATTTTAATGCAGAATTATTGTACGAATGGGAAAGTAAAAATCAATATATTTTATTAGGACGAGAGATTTCTTAGGAATTGGGCGGGAAGTTAAAATTTCAGGATTTTGTTTTTATATATAGTATATATTGTATTACACTATTTTATAATATTAGAATAGAATTTTAACCCAGAATTATTGTACGAATGAGAAAGTAGAAATCAATATATTTTATTAGGAAAAATATATTTTATTAGAAAGGGAGATTTTTTAAGAATTGGGCGGGAAGTTAAAATTTCAGGATTTTGTTTTGATATATAGTATAAATTGTATTACACTATTTTATAATATTAGAATAGAATTTTAATGCAGAATTATTGTACGAATGGGAAAGTAGAAATCAATATATTTTATTAGGAAGTGAGATTTCTTAGGAATTGGGCGGGAAGTTAAAATTTCAGGATTTTGTTTTTATATATAGTATAGATTGTATTACACTATATTTTATAATATTAGAATAGAATTTTAACCCATTGTACGAATGAGAAAGTAGAAATCAATATATTTTATTAGGAAGAGACATTTCTTAGGAATTGGGCAGGAAGTTAAAATTTCTGGATTTTGTTTTTATATATAGTATAGATTGTATTACACTATTTTATAATATTAGAATAGAATTTTAATGCAGAATTATTGTACGAATGAATGGAAAGTAGAAATCAACATATTTTATTAGGAAGAGAGATTTTTTAGGAATTAGGCGGGAAGTTAAAATTTCAGGATTTTGTTTTTTTATATATAGTATAGATTGTATTACACACTTTCAAAAAAAAAAAAAAAGTATTACACTATTTTATAATATTAGAATAGAATTTTAATGTAGAATAATTGTACGAATGGGAAAGTAGAAATCAATATATTTTATTATGAAAATTTTATTTTATTTGGTAGGGAGATTTTTTAGGAATTGGGCGGGAAGTTAAAATTTTACGATTTTGTTTTTATATATAGTATAGATGGTATTACACTATTTTATAATATTGGAATAGAATTTTAATGCAGAATTATTGTACGAATGGGAAAGTAGAAATCAATATATTTTATTAGGAAGAGAGATTTCTTAGGAATTGGGCGGGAAGTTAAAATTTTAGGATTTTGTTTTTATATATAGTATAGATAGATATAGATTGTATTACACTATTTTATAATATTATAATAGAATTTTTTATGCAGAATTATTGTACGAATGAGAAAGTAGAAATCAATATATTTTATTAGGAAGAGAGATTTTTTAGGAATTGGGCGGGAAGTTAAAATTTCAGGATTTTGTTTTTATATATAGTATAGATTTATATTTAATATCACAGTTATATCAATAGTTAAAAGTAGTACAAATGAATTCAATCATTTATCATTCATCCTAGTTTGCCAAAACTTAGTCTTACATTTGAAAAATAAAAATTCAACAAATATTTTTA